CGTGCGGCTGCTGATAAAAACAGGATCGCCAACATGATCGCCAACGTCCGATAACGGATATAGAAGAAGAAGAAGAAGAAGAAGAAGAAGAAGAAGAAGAAGAAGAAGAAGAAGAAGAAGAAGAAGAAGAAGAAGAAGAAGAAGAAGAAGAAGAAGAAGAAGAAGAAGAAGAAGAAGAAGAAGAAGAAGAAGAAGAAGAAGAAGAAGAAGAAGAAGAAGAAGAAGAAGAAGAAGAAGAAGAAGAAGAAGAAGAAGANTCAGGAATTCTGGGAGTTGAAGTCCACGAGTCATAAAAGAGCTGAGGTTGCCTACCCCTGTTCTAGTGGCTTGCCCTGACAGTGTTGGTGGGAGTAGTTTTGAAGATTCTTTGCTTGGGCTGTTTACTGTTTGCTTGTTTGGCAATTCCCTGATTGGGGTATTGTTTACTTCTTGATTATTGATCTGATATTAATCTTGGTTAGACATCGGGCCAACAATCAAGAAGTAAACAATACCCCCACTCCCTAGTAGCACTGATGGTGTTACCTCCTTTGGGTAATTAAACATCTACAAGAAAGCAACCAAGCTCAGAGAGAATGCCAAGGACCCCTCATTTCAACCCTGAGCTACAAATATTCTCCTTTATCAGTTATAGTGTTTTGTCCCTCCACTTCTCGGATATTTGGGAGACAGTGATCCTGTGGTTAAAGAAGAGTACATCTGGCCATTTGGATGTTGCTGCCTTATTATCAGTAACCCTCATTATTGGCCAAGTTGGTAGGGATAGCTGGGAGCTATGCCAGTGTAAAATCTGGAAAGCTTTGGGTGCAACAGATAGCAACAGCATTTGGACTTATATACCGCTTCACGGTGCTTTACAACCCTCTCTAAACGGTTTACAGAGTCAGCCTACTGACCCCAACAATCTGGGTCCTCATTTTACCGACCTCGGAAGGATGGAAAGCTGAGTCAACCTTGAGCCGGTGAGAATCGAACTGCAGAACTACTGGCAGTCGGCAGTCAGGAAAAGTAGCCTGCAGTACTGCATTCTAGCCACTGCGCCACCACGGCGCTAGATGTTAGAAGTCCACGCTATTCTTCCTTCTCAAAAGAATCAATTGAACTTTGATATCATGTAGTCCAAAGAGCAGCCATCCTGAAAGGAAACTGCTGCTAACTAACTATCCCCAGGCCAATTGCATCTAAATATTCTGTATTTGTGCTTAGCTTGTGAACAAACACTTCAGAAACAAAACAGTTTCCCTAACCAACCTCATCATTCCCCACCCGCTAGAGGAAAATCATATTCTCAAATGTTTGAATTGTCATAAATCTCTAAGCTGTAACTCCAATGGTCACGTAAACAGTGTTGAAACTCCTCCAATGCAAGTATCCCGTTGAATGTACACAAGAGTTCTTTCAAAGGAAAGTCTTGTCTTCATACTTATTGACCAGATACAGTATTGACATTATTTGTTGGCCCACAAAGAGATATGTATGCCCAAGGGAGTCAAAGGAGGCTTAATTCAATCCTTTCTTATACCATTGGATAAAATGATGATTCACACCATTGATGTTTTCTTCTGGAATATTAGTATTAGGGAAGACTACACATGGATGTATTTGTGCTGGACTTGGGCAGCCACTAAATTTCAAAGGACAAGGAGAGGGAGAAGAAGGAGGAAGAAAAACAACTCCAATCCACTGCAAAGAGTTCATTCAGAACATATATTCAAATTTATGATCATGTATGAATAAAAACCATACAATTTTTTAAAAAAAAGGAAAGTAAAGAGAAGCAATAAGTAAATAAATAAGAGACAGACAAGAAAAAAAAAAGACATATCAGCTTCTCATCTTTACAGCAGCTACAAATGCATTTATATTTTATCCTCTCTAAGGTTTCGTCCTTGTTTCCATATTCTACCTTTTCTAATTCTCAAACTCATCAATCACAAGTTAATTTGTGATTTCTTGCACCACCCTTGGATCTGCTCCAAAGATTCAGAGTGCCCCCGTGTTTGTCTTGACCTCACATAAATAAGTCCACCTGAATTGGTCTGCAAATCTCCAGACAACCAGTAGACAGCAAGAAAATATAGAAATCTATACCAGACTGATATTATTTAATGGTTATGTGGATTTATATAATCCATGGCTGGTAGACCTAATCAGAAGTTAAGGAAGGAGGAAGTTGGTTAATATTGTCAAGCCCTCTTTGCTAGTTCAGTCATGCCTCAGAACAGTGATTAGAAACCCTTTATGGAGTTGTTGTTTTTTTTACTTAAAATAGGAAAAAAAATTAACTTGTGATTTATGGGTTTGAGGATTAGAAAAGGTAGAATATGGAAACAAAGATGACACCTTAGAGAGCATAAAATAAAAATGCATTTATAGCTGCTGTAAAGATCAGAAGCTGATATTTCATGCCCCTTTTTCTTTCTTTTCTGTCTCTTTTATTTCTTATTTGCTTATTACTTCTCTTTATTTCTTTTTTACAACATTTGTCTGTTTTTTATTCTGTAAAACAGTTTTCCAATAAAAAAAAAAAGAACATTACCTTGGGACATCCTGGACAATGTCACCAAGACAGCCACCCAGTTATGTAAACTGTAATATCAAAACACAGGAAAGAGCCCACTTTCTTTATTGCAATGGAGACCACCTGGGGAATAAAGGTAGGCTTGAGAACATCTCAAGACCCCTGGATGGTCTGGCAGCTAAATCAGTTTAATGGACACCAGCTGAGTGAAGGCGGGTAACAATATATTGTGATGGTCTTGCAGCTGGAGCAGATATATTGAGCACCAACTACATAAGGACACAGTACAGGTAGTCCTTGACTTACGATTCGTTTAGTGACCGTTTGAAGTTACAATGTTTACAAAAATCTGTCATTGTTAAATGAATCTGACTTCCCCATTGACTTTGCTTGTCAGAAGGTCGCAAAAGGGCATCACATGACCCCTGCACACTGCAAACGTCATAAATGTGAGTCAGTTGCCAAGCATTCAAATGTAAATCATGTGACCATGGGGATGCTACAATGGTCTTAAGTGTGAAAAATGGTCATAAGTCCCTGTTTTCAGGGCCTTTGTAACTTCAAATGGTCACTAAACAAACTCGCAAGTCGAGGACTGTACCTACAATTTGCAAACCTCCATTTCTGGTTATTGTTGCATTCTGAATCTTAACTTCCTGACAGATCTGGGTATACAGATTCTTTGCCTGTGAGATCCTGTCCCGGACATTTGTTTTCTTATTTTGGCTCACTGGAAAAGCAGCTCTGACTTGGAATGATTAGGCTTTGACTTCTAGACCATTTTGACCTGAGTCCTCCGGGAGAAGGGCGGGGTATAAATTTAATAATAAAACTGAAACTGACTATTGAGTATTGTTCCAGATGCCACTAAGTCAGTCTGATTGACTTCTGGATGCACCTACTGTTCATGAGCAGCCCCTTCTAGAATTACATCTTGAACTGCCCAGCTAAATTTCTGTCTTTCCTAATTCTTAAGGGTGAACTTTCTGGGTAAATTTGGAAAAAAGGAAAGAATAAGACAGATTGGGGGAAGCATCAAAATCAGAATTTATTTATTTTTTTTGCTGATCACCTCTCTAGCTAAGCATAAGGATACGGAAGGTCAACTGGCAAATTTGTATTGAAGAACCCTGAATCTACCACCACAGCAAGCATGATCAGTATGCCAAGCTGCCTGCAGAGAAATAGCATGAGATGCCAGATTGAATTGGAAGGAGACCAAGGGTCAGACAGAAGACACTCCTTACAGCAGGGTTTCTCAATCTGGGCAATTTTAAAATGTGTGGGCTTCAATTCCTAGAATTTCCTGGTCAGCATGCTGTCCAGGGAATTCTAGGAGTTGAAGTCCCAGACATTTAAAACTTGCTAAGGTTGAAAAACAACGCCCTACAGTATTATTTATAACAGTAATATAGTATTATTATGGTCTTGTGGGCTTCTAGACCCAAGCCCTTAAACTGCAGAATGCAGAATTCTGAATTCAAACATAATGAACTATAATTCCTGCCTTTCCATATATGTAGGGGATGCACGCATCAATGTGTCTCAATGTAAATCTGTTCATACATGCATCCATCATAACAGCTTCCAAATCCCCCATTGTTTTAATCCGAGTTACTTGCCCTGGCAATTGACTTTCTTTTTCAATTATTAGAAATGATTTTACATGCCACTGCAAATTCCTCAGTGATCAAACGTTTCAGCAGCGGAAAAGAAATGATAAAGCTTCTCAGGCCTATGATTTATGAAAACAATCAAAATCCAGATTAAAACAGCTTTGGAAAAGCTATTAAAATGTTCAGGAAGAGAGATTTAAAATAAAAAACACAGGCGTAATGCAGCAATGTGACATAGGTGGAAGACCGACTTCATTGCAAACTACTGGCGAGTCAGCATAATTTGTATTTAAAATGAAAAAGGAGAAAAATCAATCTGTCAGCACTTTTACCGAGCAATAATTTCCACTCAAGACTGAAATTATTAAAAGACCTTTGCCAGATATCAAGACAGTATACTTGAATGCTTCCTAGACCTGGATAAATAACCCAAACTTGGATAAAAGTGGTTTTTCTTTGAGCAACAATCTATTACCAGACCACAACAGGAACATTTAAATTGATTTAAAAAGTTTGACCTACATTGGGTAAAAAGGACTGTCTGGCAAGTGGTTTGGGTAATGAAAGAAAAAGTTTGGGAAGCGCAGGTGTGCTTTGTCACAAATCTGTTTCTCCTCGTGTGTCATTGCTGAGAATGGCTTCATTAAACTTCTCTATAACTAACCAGAGCTACCAACGTGCCTGGCTGAGGAATTCTGGGAGTTGAAGTCCACAAGTCATAAAAGGGCCAGGTTTGAAGACCCCTGTCCTAGACCCTTCTCACGTAGGGACTGCTTCGCTTAACAACCAAGCTATTGATCCCAGTGAGGTTGCTCAGTGACGACTACCTATATCCCCATCACAAGACAATATTGCGAGCCATTTCCCATGCATTTCTATGATGCATGTTTCAAACTTTATTTGCAATTCATAACAAAGGAGGGGAAATAGCCATGCTGATGTTTATCGATCCACAGGCCCTCATAAACACTTGCGCAGGCTGGTGGAAGGGACACCGTTATACAGCCAGATAAACGCATATGTGCGTACACTGATTCATTGCAGGGAATGAAATGAGCACTTTCTTAGATGGGGAACTTTAGGACCATCAATCATCCGGTGCAGAAATAAAATAAAATAAAATAAATCATGGCATGTGATCAAATCCCAAATGAAAAAAAAAAACCACCATTCAGACTGTATTGGGACACAATATAAGTCACCTTGGCTTCAATAATTAGGTTTAATTTCAAGCTCTGAAGTCTGCAAAATATTCTGGGGTCTTACATCTTTTTTTTCCTCTTTTTAATTGGAAGCTTAGGGCTCCAGATAAGCAACTTTTCATGCTAGCAAATAAGATTTCATCCAGAATAGTGATGAATTCCTAGTTCAAAGCAACGGCTTCGCTACCCTCAGTCCTTAAGGGTTAAAAGTAAGATGGAAACTTCTTCTCAGTGCGGGAACAGTTTTGTGTTCTCTGGATGTTTGCTGCAACCTCTGCTAGTGGTCAGAACAGTCTTAAGGTCTCCACAAAATGTAGACACACTTTAAAATCCTACAATGCACCATCATTTAACAGAAAGCTCTCCTCTACAAGGTTTAAGAAGGCATCAATTGAATTATCCTGATTTAAGCTATAAATAGGACCAAATATTTTCCTTCTTGCTTTTCTTTTCTTTTTTTGGCTTTGCTTACTTGAAACACATTTTTGGCAGAATAAAAAGGCTTATGGCTTCTTAAGGCCAGAGAACATAGTGAGGTCTAACTTGGTATCCTGTGATAGAAGTAAATATATCCTAACTCTATGGGTGGCTGCTCCGAGGCACAAACTTTAAGGTCGTTGTAGATAACCCACCTGAAAAGGAGAAAGAAGGAAATGCAGTGAACATCATGAAATTAAATTAAATGGATATGGAACACCTACAACAGCTGGCTCCACTACCACCATCACCAACATCTTACTTGATTAAGAGCATATGTTGATTTTTCTTATCTGGGGAATTAGGATAATGAACAAGCAGCAGTCTGGCTGCTTCCGATGTTTAAAAAAATCTGTGTTCGACTCTTAATCCACTTAATCAAAACCACTGCTACCATGGGAGCCAGCCTCATTCATTCATTCATTCATTCATTCATTCATTCATTCATTCATTCATTCATTTTCATTCATTCATTCATTCATTCATTCATTCATTCAAGAAATGGAATTTTCTGACATGGTTTTCCATAGACATCTGTAGAGATTCTCAGTCATCCAGGTCATAGTTATCCCAAAAATGCTTTTCCAAAAGGCAGATGGACTGTTCTTTCCTTGAGGAAGAAGAATACGTTTCACTTCTCATCTAAGAAGCTTCATCAGCTCTGACCAAATGGTGGAGGATGAAAGGATTTATATTGCTTGCAGTCATCTGCTCATTAGGCATTCTTTCTGAGAGTCACTGAGGCCACTTAAAGGGAATTTATAAATCCTTCCATCCTCAAAAGGTCTTCAAGGAAAAAGATAAGTCCAGCTGCATTTTGAAAAAGCACTCTGGGTTTCCATAGAAGTGCCAATCTCAAAACGTTTGTCCAACTTTTGGGCACTGCGTAACGTTAGTAACACAAGCAGTAATGTCACACTACATTACCTTCCTTCCTTTTTCAGATGACAAACGTAATGGCCGCTCATGGTGGATGTCCCCATGTGACTGATGAAGCCAAAGAGTTCATATCCTGCCCAAGAAAATATCAAGAGTATAATGAGCAAAGTCATGATGAAGACGGTCCAGAAATCTTGCCCACATTCCTATAATAACAATTCCTTAATCAACTAACTCCTGATATTCTTATTGGTCCCCTTTCTTAAAAAATTAATTTCAGGAATAAAATGGACATTTTTGAAAATTGCAAACCCACATGCCCATAACCCTCAGCATATATAAACCCTGCAAATATATTGTCTGTGCGGTTGTCATGAATCAAATCTACTTTAATGCTATTTCCTATAAAAGATGACATAGCATAGAAGCCCTCAGCAATATTCAACCTTCCCTGGACCGCACGCAATATATCTCAGAATATTTTTTTTTTATATTTCAGACATTTATTATCTCCCTTAAAAGTTCCATAGTTAGGCGCATCAAGCATTTCTTGGTATTCTCAGGCTATTTTGATTGTGCTGCTGCATTCATTGATGCTCAACAAATTTTAACTGCTGTCTAAAAGCTCCATCCTGTGGTTTATTTTTCCTGCAAGAGTTATGATGGTTAAAAAAATAATGGTTAAAAAAGCAGGGAATGCTGCAAACAAATTGAAGCATGAGGAGAAGGTCATAAAGACCCCTGCCAAACCTCATACATGCATCCTTCAGTAAAGGCCTTTTATGATAGCTATTTTATATTGTTTCAGACCAGTGGTCCATGTCAGCATTTTTTAATGATTTTTGCTGGCTGAGAAGTATTGAGGAAAAGCTGAGATCATTCAGTGATGCCAAAGATTGAACTAGGATCATTTAAAGGATTGTTTAACACAGCAACAATGAAATTTGACATCAAGAAAATATTTAACAGAAAGCAGAAATCCGCCCTGTTCGTTAGTTATTATCATGTGTATAATATACATATGATAAGTTCACAGGGATGTAACATTGCAATCACTGGCATATTAAAACAAGTGAAAAGACCGAAAGCATATTGTCCTAACCTAATCTAAAAAAGAAAAAAGAAATGCCTTTATCTGAGTAAAAAAAACCTTCTGTAATTCTTTGCAGGGATCCTGAAACCGTTGTTTTCTTTCCTGCATCGTTCTTCAGCTTTTATGCAATCCCAATAGATTAATCACAGAGATTCCTATTGGTCAGAACTAACCTGTATTACTTATTTATTTATTTATTAAATGTCTATGCTGCCCATCTGACTGATGCAGTGACTCTGGGCAGCTTACCCATCACTGCTCGTTTTATAGCTATTCCAATTGATGCATCTGATATGGATAGAGAAACAATTCATAAGTGTAAACCCACATGAGTAAGTCAGGCAGATTAAGGTATGTAACGTAGCCGGGAGAAACTTACTTCCTGGTCCATCTTTAATCCGGGGTCCTTCCGGATCAGATTCTGCAAGGATGTTAGCATTCACATGGTTTTCTATAGTCATGACCTCAGAAGCTACTTCAGTTTCTTCCTCTGGCTCAGGGTGACTAAAGATCCACTCCAATGCATGCTCCAAGTTGTTATTCTTCCAGACAAAATAGCATGGGATAATAAAATAGACAAAGAACTATCAATATCTTGTCATCGCTGTGATAGCATTTTCTCTTAATGAGCTGCTGTTGTTTTCCAAGAATAGACAAGTATACATACAGGTAATCCTTGAGTCATCGTGACCAGTGACTTAGTGAATGTTCAAGGTTACGACAGAACCACCACCCCCGAAGGTACTTATTATCTGGATTTGAAATTCCAATGGCTTCCCCCCCCTCCCGTGGTCATAGGATTGCATTTTAGGGGCTCAGTAATTGGCCCATATTTACAGCTATGTGCAGCGTTCTGTGGTCACGATTTACAGTATTTGTTGACAAAAACCAGTGTTTACTTTTGGTGTTCAGGGGAAAAAAACAACCCAAAGTAAAGGCCCATTTCAGGCAGTGGGTTCACTTAATGACCATGGGATCTGCTTAACGATCACTGCAAAAAAATCAGGTCAGTCATATGATGACCCACTGGCATGATTTTGACCATAATTTTATGCTTGGTTATGCTCATTAATTCAGGATTATTTGTATACCATTTTATGGAGGGATTACAACTTGTATAACTGAGGTAAGCATGGTAGCAGAAGAGACCCTGGTTAGGAAAAACTGTACTAGCTTCTTCTCAGGGGGCTGGACTAGAAGACCTCTAAGGTCCCTTCCAGTTCTATTCTATTCTACTCTACTCTACTCTACTCTACTCTACTCTACTCTACTCTACTCTACTCTACTCTACTCTACTCTACTCTACTCTACTCTACTCACTCTACTCTACTCTACTCTATTCTATATTGTAAATAGCATCTACTGTCACTGCCTTCCCATGTCTGATACATCCCAGAAGAATAGCTGAGCATGCAAGTACATACTTAGATGATTTGCATTAAAGCAACAAAAATGTTGTAACATTTTTTAAAGCTAGCATGAGTTGCTTTGCCCTTTAGGCTCTCTGTTCCACTAACATCTTGTCATTATATACTATGAGTGAAATTTTTTGATAATTTCAAGCCTTGTAAAACAATTAGGACATAAGCAAAACAGAACAAATGAGCACTACTAGACTACAGATGCTGTTGAACTACAACCCCCAGCATGCCCTGGGGCTGTTTAAATCTGGAGGGCTTTTTCTAGAGGTACAATAATACTTGTCTGTGTTACTTAATAACCGGCATTCTCAGTGTGACTCTTAGATAGTCTTGCTATAGCAGTTCCCTAATTCTCAAGCAGAGTCCAGCAAAATATACTGCTTAAACAATACATGTACTCCTCGACCACAATCAAGCTGAAAATTTATGTTGCCAAGCAAGACATTTGTTAAGCAAATTTTGCCCCATTTTACAACCTTTCTGCCACAGTTGTTGTGAACCACTGCAATTGTCAAGTCAGTAACCTCGTTGTTAAGTGAATTTGGCCTCCCTATTGACTTTGCTTGTCAGACAGTCACAAAAGTTAACCAAGTGACCCCAGGACACTGAAATCGTAATAAAGGTGAACCAGTTGCCAAGCATTTGAATTTTGATCAGGTGACCATGGGGATGCTGCAACGGTCATAAGTGTGAAAACCAATCATAAGTCACTTGATTCAATGTTGTTGTAACTTCGAACACTCACTTGGCAAGTGATTGTAAGTTGAGGACTACCTATACTTTGGTCTGCCCTCTTCCAAGAGGGCCATCATCAATTTAATGATGATTAAACAACTCTAACGCATACTCTTCCTTTAACGAATTTGCTGCTGCTTGATTAAAGTTTTTTTTATTAGTTTATAACAGTGGTGGCGAACCTATGGCACGTGTGCCAGAGGCAGCACTCAGAGTCCTCTCTGTGGGCACGCGTGCCATGCCCCGGAGATGGCAAGGGACTGGCCCCCGCCGCCCTGCCCCTGCCCACCCAGTCTGCCATGACCACCGCGGCCACGCCCACCCGGCACCCGGTGATAAATAAGTGGGTTTTGGGTTGCAGTTTGGGCACTGGGTCTCTAAAAGGTTCACCATTACTGGTTTATAACATAAAATACAAAACCAAAAAAGAAAATAGTAGGAAAAATAGGGATGAGAAAAGTGTACGAAAAAGGGGGGAAAGGAAAAAAAAAAGGGCATCCGACTCCCATTGGTGCAGTAGAACAAGGTAATAACATCAAACTTCAACTTTTTACTTATACGTAACAGGATAAACTAGCCATATATATGTCCTTCCATTTTTGTGCATAAAGTTATCTTGCCCCAAAATTGCTGCTGCTAGCAAGAGTCAGAAGACTTGTATAGCTGGGGATGTGACATTAATTTATTGTCACAGTCCTATGGGGTCATAGGGGAGGAAACATCTGCCTTTGGGCTACCAATAAATCCCAAATAATTTTCAGGAAAACTCACTGCTGCCCGTAGTGCCTGAAGAGCTAAATTCCGCTGAAATCCCATAGAGGAAATTATGGCTACCATCTCTTCTGGAGGCTGATTATCCAACCCTGGAGGACCTCCTGACCCTCCTGTTCGGGAAAAGGCCATTCCTCCATAGCCAGGGATGGGTAAAGGCTCTGCAAAATCTGGAATAAAATGGAAGGTATTCATTAATTCACATCTACGGGGGGTTTTCAGTCATCCAGGTCATGGTTGTCCCAAAGATGCTTTTTTAAGAGGCAACTGGACTTCCTTTGTTTTTCCTTGAAGACGTTTCGCTTCTCATCCAAGAAGCTTCTTCAGTTCTGAACTGAAGAAATTGAAGCAGCTTCTTGGAAACTGAAGATACAGAACATCTTCAAGGAAAAACAAAGAAAGTTCAGTTGCCTCTTGAAAAAGCACCTTTGGGATATTCATTCATTCATTCATTCATACATACATACATACATACATACATACATACATACATACATACATTATACCTGTAGACTGCAAAATCAATGCCCACATGTCTTCAAGCAAGGCAAATAATTGATTAGAATTTTTATCGTTTTCCTCTTGAAATGTCATTCACCTCAACTACTGACATGTTGTCATTGGGAAAATGGTACACTGTGTAAATTACTAAAGAGACCCTTGTACAATTGCAAAAAGAAAAAAGGCAGAAATCAGATCTAATGTGGTGACAGACTTTTACCCTGTTGTTGATTTACATCTTTGTAGGATACCAAGCACAGAAGAATTTGTAAACTGGGGAGAGAGAGAGAGAGAGAGATATACCAGTTTCTCAATTGGGGGACCATTTAAGTATTAAATAAAAATAATGTGAGTCTATAGGTTGGTGACTTATTTCACAGAATTATGTACCAAGTAGGAGGTCTGGTTTTTTTTATGCTGTGTCCGTGGTCTTTCCCATTCATAGTTGCTGCTCTTTTCAGGAAGGTTCGTGTCAGATCTTTGGCCTAATCTACTAGATGGTTTTTCTAAAGGACCTTTGTTTGCAACAGTGCAAAACAGGAGATTCTTTCTGCCTTGGTGGACCGGCAGGGGGCGGGGGAGAGGGGATGGTTTTGTGAAAGCAATGGGCACATGCATAGCTCCATTTACATGAGCGGTGGGTGCGCACGCACGCTGCTCACACAAGCTTCCTGCACAAGCGCATTCGCCCACCACACGCACAAATGGAGCTGTGCGCACTAACTCACGGTTCTGAAAGGGCCACAGCCTGGTACCAGGCCATGACCCAGGGGTTGGGGACTCCTGTTGTAAAGGAATCGAGATTTGTTTCTGACTTAGTAGAAATACACTTCTTCCCAAGAAGCACAAATATATTTGTTTACAATTGCACAAAATAAAGTAAAAATCCAAATAGCAGACCTGGTTGTCCCAAAGATACTGAATAGAATAGAATAGAATAGAATAGAATAGAATAGAATAGAATAGAATAGAATAGAATGGAATGGAATGGAATGGAATGGAATGGAATGGAATGGAATGGAATGGAATGGAATAGAGGTAGAGTAGAGATAGAATAGAATAGAATAGAATAGAATAGAATAGAATAGAATAGAATAGAATAGAATAGAACAGGATAGAACAGAACAGAACAGAACAGAACAGAATAGAATAGAATAGAATAGAATAGAATAGAATAGAATAGAATAGAATAGAATAGAATAGAATAGAATGGAATGGAATGGAATGGAATGGAATGGAATGGAGGTAGAGTAGAGATAGAGTAGAGGTAGAGTAGAGTAGGAATAGAATAGAGTAGAATATAGAATAGAATCAATATAGTCTTTGAAGATTTCACGTAGCATAAAAGATAGAAGAATGGAGGACTTATTTTGGACGGAAGTGTTACATGTAAATAAAATTATTGTTCTTAACAATAAAATAACCTGTAGTAAAATATATAGCAATTGCTCAACCTGTACTTTCATGATGTATCCTCAGGATATTTTTACAAATAGAAGATATGTGCAATTTTGGCACTAGAATACAATAGAATAACAGAGTTGGAAGGGACCTTGGAGGTCTTCTAGTCCAACCCCCTGCAAAAAGACTTTCTTGGGGTTTTTTTCTTTGAAAATGTTTTACTTCTCATCCAAGAAACTTCTTCAGTTCCGACATTTTTAAAGAAAAACCAAGAAAGTCCAGTTGCCTTTTGGAGAAAGCACCTTTGGGACAACCATGACCTGGATGATTGAGAATCTCCACAGACACCAGACCTGGTTCTTCCATGTGTGCAATGATCCAGTTGAAAGCCACCTCGGCACCCATGTTGCCAGTATAGTACACGGCTTTTCGGCATGCTTCCAACGGAAACCCCATCTCTGCTAGCTGCATCACGGAGGATTCATCAAAATCTGGGGCTGAGAGAGAGGACATTCCAGGTGAAAAATGAACTCATCACTTCCCAGTCGACAACCCTGGCTGCTTTTATCACCCAAGACACAAAGACTGCAACTGGCATCAAACTGTGACTCTGCAAAACATTGTAATTGATTTCTTAGTACAAATGTTGTAGCCTTCGCTTGCCGCTGTTTAAAAAAATCATAACCACTGGAGACAGCATCCGATGGAGGTGCAAATTAGAACACAGAAGTTACTCAGAGTGTTCTCCATTCCTTTTCATCTCTTGTACAAGGAACAGCAGGCTTGGGTTCAGATGTTCAGTTTTTGCAATGATCAGTATAGGAACCGAACATCAAAAGGAAGAGCTGTTCTTGCAACAGTCTTTGTGCTGTTTGAAGAATAGCAAAGTCAGCACCGAGTGCTGATCTAAATCGCCCCTAAAAGCAAAAGTGACAAAGGTTATTAGGCTCTACAAACATCAGCTGAAGCCTTGGCTGTTCTCCATGCAAAACAGTTCCCAAAGCTAAGATACCCCAGGTTTTTTTTTTTGTAATTCTGCATTTTAAAGGTCACACATATTGATGGAGCTCCTGAACTGAAACCATCAGCCAGGGCAAGCATAAATGATAAAGTGAAGCAACACTCTCAGGCTTCAGCTGGTTTAAGTAACGGTTGGATCATAAATGCAATTAATCATCTAGGGGAGTCTGCAGTTATGCACAAAGACAAAATTATGCTGCAGTATCAGAGGATTTCGATCTCTGTTCTGTTCACACTTTTAAAGTTTCTAGTTCTCGTTAAGGTAAAGCTAGATATGAATGCCTGAACCAAAATTGATATTATTCCTCCTCTCTGTTTCTCTCTTTAACGCTGTAGTGACTATTGATTCAGAAGATCTCGCTTTCTACTGATCTGCAAGCATCTCTGATAATATTCTTTTTGGTAAAGAGTGAAGCAAAAAAAAAAAAGTTTAAATAATTGATTAGCAATTGCAAACAAAACACTGATCCTTTGGATTAATCAGCAAATCTCTTAGGTTGCAATATTAATAAAACAATATTTAAATCAACTATGAGAACATGGAATAATCCAAGATAGGGAACAGCTTTCTCCAGTGTTATTAAGATTCCTTCCAATATCTCAGCGCAGACCCAGGACAGGTGGAAAGTTATGGAGGAGAAGAGCAGAGTTAAGCGAAGAGCTCTCGTGCAGTCTGTAAAGCTTCCGCAAGTCGCAGCAAGTAAGCTCAGCCAAGTCAAACAAAAATAAAACCAACATAAAGAAATGGGATACATACGCTCCATGAAATGGTTCATCATGCCATCTGAAAGTCAAGAAAGTTAGTTAAGGGAGTCCAAAGTATTTTGGAGCGGCAGGAAAATGGAAATTGGCCAGTTCTGCATTTGATATAAATACTAGATCGTCACCTAGAACTTACAAAACAGATTCTTTGTGGTCGTACCCCAATCTGGTACCCCCAGGGCTGCCATCAGCAAAGTCATTAGCTTTTCCATTTTGGAAGTGGTAAGAACTCTAACCTAAACCAGCTGGAGAAAAAAAATATACTAGGAAGCCCAAATGAACCTCTTTGACCTTTAGGCAGAACTTAATTTTGCTGACTCCAACTTTTTCTGTCCACACCTCTTCTGCAGAAACTTTTCTTCTGAGGAACTAAAAGTAATGCATACATCCCCTTAATGTATCTGTTTGAATTCCAATCCTGAGCATTGTGTTTGTGGACAATCCATGAATGGCACACACCTTCCTTACTTAAAGTGGTGGAGCTGCTATCTTACGTCAAACCCTCCTACTAGAGGTTCCATGACACTATCCCCCCACTCCAGACAAGAGGCTACAGCAGGGGTCCTCAAACTTGCCAACTTTAAGACTTGTAGATTTCAATTCCCAGAATTCCTCAGCCAGTCCTGGCTGGCTGAGGAATTCTGGGAGTTGAAGTCCACAAGTCTTAAAGTTGCCAAGTTTGAAGACCCCTGGGCTACAGTATATCAGCAAATATACACGTCTACAGAGGAATTACTGAGTCTGTCATTTGTACCTCAGTAACTGTCTGGTTTGGCATAGCAATCAAACAGGACAGGTACGGATTTCAACGGATAGTTAGGGCAGCAGAAAAAACAACTGCAATCACCCTGCTTTCTATTGATGAACCAGAAAGAGGGTTGAGAAAATATCTACAGATCCCCTCACATCCTGGACATAAACTGTTTCAACTCTTCCCCTTAGGACGCTGCTATCGGGCACTGCATGCCGAAACAACTAGACACAAAGACAGTTTTTTCCCCCATGCCATCACTCTGCTGAACACTTCATTCCCACAGCACTGTCTTAAGCCTAAAGATATTTACCCTTATAAGAGGCTGCATTGCTATTATCCTTCTCATCTTCTTCTCATCTTTCCCACTATCTTCTCCTATTGGTATCTTATGATTATTGATTGTAACTATGAGTTATAATCTATGACCTATCACTTTGTTGTTTGTATGTATACTGAGAGCTTATGCACTGGAGACAAATTCCTTGTGTGTCCAATCACACTTGGCCAATAAAGAATTCTATATTCTTGTGGTTTTACACATTAATTGACCACCAGGATGCAGGATAATTATCTTGTTGTTCTTTGAATAGATTTCTTCAACTTTGGTTCATGACCTCCCTTTCTTTTGACCTCCAGCCTGCTCCACTTCAATCACAGCTTCAACCTAAAACGGACACAGAACATGCCAAATCCACCAAAGTAAGCATGCCCAATAGATCTCTGTTTACACCAGAGAACCAGGTCTTGGTTCCATCACTGCCTGCTTCTCTTGCAAACAAGACTCCCAATGATCATGTTGTAGCTTGGCATCCATGAAGATGGTCCATGCGAACAGGAAAGGATGCGAAATGACAAGGGGACAAAAAGAATATCAACTAACAGTTGTGGTGGAGAATGGTGTGGAGGTAGGAATCCTCATGGTAGTAGGGAGTACCTTTGGGGTCATTGGGAATGATCACAGGTGGAGAGATGTCTGGAAGTTCCTCCTCTCCTGGTTGAAGGCCTGTTGCTCGGAGGTGACTGATGTCCAGAAGATCTGGCATGTCTATAGAAACATCTGTAAGCAAAAGGACAAACGGGAAATTAATTAAATTATTTGGAAATCATCCTAACTGTGAAACTATAGACCAGGGGTAGTCAACCTTGGCTCTTTTATGACTCGTGGACTTCAACTCCCAGAATTCCTGAGCCAGCACAGCTGGCTCAGGAATTCTGGGAGTTGAAGTCCACGAGTCATAAAAGAGCCAAGGTTGACTATCCCTGCTATAGACAGTCTATAACAGGGATAGGCAACAACCTTGGCTCTTTTATGACTCGTGGACTTCAACAAGTCCACGAGTCATAAAAGAGCCAAGGTTGCCTACCCCTGGTCTATAACAAAGAAGGAAGAACAAGAACAATGAACCTGTCAGACCTGCCTCAGCCTGAACCTCTAAGTAAGAAAGATCCTTAACTCCATTTATCGAGAAAGGTATAGTTTACTAGAAATCAAGTGAATTACAGTAACGCGTAGCCAGTGTCATGGTTCCGATAGATGAGACCAGAAGAAATAAGAACTCTGAGGCAAATTGTTTTCCTCAAAGAACAATTTTAATTACATAATATCAGCACGAACAAAGGTGAAACCGAGACTGAAAGTTACCCCCCTCCAAAAAAGTTACAAAGTAAAAGTTGAACTCCCCACCCACTAATGTGTCAAAAATCACAATCCCCAATTAACACCTTTGGCGGGCTTCCTAATGGTAGCTCCAGCCCGCCGAACATTTAGACCGCCTAACCTGGGTTCCCACAAGAAAGTTATTGTTTTGACTAACTAAAAGAATGCATCTGCCCCCCTCCCGTTGCTGTAACAACCGAAGAGTGAAGAAACATGGCTGTATTCAGAGCAATTTGAAGGTTCGACAGCCAGAACTGAAAATTGTGCACCAAAATCCCCAAGTCTAACTTCTCCCTCCCTTAGGTGCCTCCCATCACTGGGCCCCCATGTCCCATCAAGTTAGGGTTGCCAGGTCTGCTTCCAAAAAATAGCGGACAAGCGGGGGGGGGGGTTAAGTGGTAAAAAAAGTAGACTGTACAGCTTTAGATTATGTACCATTTCATCATAAAGCTTTTGAATAAAAAAAATGTCCACTATTTTGTGAAAAAAAATAGTGAACATAATGTGAAAAAAGTGGACTGTCCACTCAAATAGTGGACACCTGGCAACCCTACATCAAGTTCAAACAATATGTTTTTAGAATGGTCACTTCAGGCATGGGTTTGGTATGCAGCCACTTTCTGTTCCCAGCTGATTATCCTTGGAGCAGATCTCGGAGAGATACAGGGAACTTTCGTTTCCCTCAAAGCATCCATCCTCCCATCCAGCCCCCCCCCCCAGTTCATGGCAGCTGATGCTGAATGGTTTTGACAGGCAAGCGTGAGGTGGCAGGGACAGAAACGATACAAACCTATCCAGAAAGAATTCTTACAATCTATTCACTTGGGCCAAAGTCATGGTGGAATAAAGATGCATAATGCAAGGAAGAAAGGTATTCTGTTTAGCTTTGGGAGAAGCACATTCCAGTGCATGGGGCCACTACAAAAAAGGCCCACCACTTAACTCAAGTTTCTATAATGCCATAAACAAATTAGTTTAGGGCCCTCTTACTTATTTATTTCTATTTATATGACCTCCTGTATCAACCTCATAACTTTGGGTGGGAAACAGCATTTGAGATCATGAAATAGCAATCATATCTCTATAAACAGAAATTGGCAGGTAGGTAAATAATGGTCACCATAACCATCCCGTGGGCTCTGTCATATTCTTTCCATTCAACCATCACAATCAAAGTTGAGCTAACACAGACAAGGGTAAGTAAATAAATAAATAAAAAGTAAAGGGTAAGCTAATATATACAAGGGTAAGTACAGGGACTCTTGTTTGGATAGGTGGGTGGAATGGAGGACCCACGAGGCCCCTTCTAACTCTGTTATTCTGTTATTCTTTCTATGATGGTGTGTATCCATCCCATCAAGCCCAAATAAAATTCGAAGTGGTATAGGATCTCCTGCCATGGGCAGAGTGTTGGACTAGAAGATCTCCTAATTCCCTTCCGACCCTATGATTCTATATTCTAAGTTTCACAAAAGTTCCTCGTATGAATCAGAATATGTTGAAATGTGGCAGTCAGAATCTATTTCTGTAGAAAACAGTCATTTGATTCTTTGGGGATGGGGAAATGAACAATTCAATTATTTTTAAAGTGCCTTGGACTTGTAATATTCCCAGGTCATCACCAAACTGAGTTTTAAAAAAAAACACAAAACCATTTTCCAGTATTAACAGAAAAAAGAAACAAGAGGAAATTCCCTGGCTGTCCCAAAGGAGCTTTTTCCAAAAGACACCTGGACTTCCTTGATTTTTCTTCGAAAATGTTTTCATCCATGAAGCATCCATGAACCAGTTACCTTTTGGGAAAAGCACCTTTGCAACAACCCTCACCTGGATGATTGAGAAACTCAACGATCGAGTTTCTTGGCTGTTATCTGGAGGATGAAAGAAACTTTCCCCTTAAGCAGCCATGGAGTAGATAAACCTTACAAATGAACACAAGGCAATTCAATATGGAAGACAGCAGTCCAAATACATACCAAGCTTCTTAGGGATCCAGTCGAGACCAAAAGTAAATTTCTTTATCTGAACCACCAGGTATTCAGGAAAGGAAGCAAAGAGAGACGTTCTGGAAGTGTAAAGCAATTCCAGGTGAAATTAGAAGATCCAAAACTCAAGATCAGAACCTTCATCATTTTAACAGAACAGTTGAACTGCTCTTATTGGATCATACACAAGAGCCCGCCCATTCCACTATTTTCTACGGGCAGCCAGCCAGATATGTCTGGAAAGCCAAGAAATACGGGTAGTTCTCATTTACCAACTGCCTCATTTAGCAACCACTTGCAATTACAACAGTGATTTTTTTAAAAAAAGTAACTTTATGGCCAGTCCTCCCATTGCAATGGTTGCAGCTCTGTAAAGCAAAGGAAAGCTGAAGTCAGATTATAAGTACAGCTGGGATTTCACTTAGCATTTATTAATTGAATTGCCACTCCAGACTGTCATCACTGGAGCAAGATCCCTCCTCCCACTGCTTCTCCACCATCTGGTAAGAGTAACCCGTATCTTATTTTTACCAGATGGCTAAGCCAAAGTAACAAAGTCTCAGGGGTACTATCAGATGTAATACATATATTTTTATAAGGTCTGTTTTGTAGTCTCTGAAATCATCTCCAGAACAAGGAGAATAGGAGAAGATTCCTTCCACTTCGTCCCAAGGAAAGACTCGAAGCTCAAGTGACTGAAGAGGCAGCAGAAAGCGTGTAATGCTACTATACAGAGAACAAACGAATAAATGAAGGGTCCTGGCAGACTTTTGTAAGTAAATGGAATTATTTATGGAGTTGCTATCTCAGAAGACACAAAGAGTAGGGGAAAAAATGGATAACGGAAGGTTATTCCCCAAGGGCAAATGTTTTTTTTACTTATAAATAATCTAATGGGAAGTATATCTTGAATAACTGAGGAGGCTGAAGCAACATGAGAAGGCTATCCTTGAAGCTTTTAAACTTAGGAAAAAAATAAGGGATATTACAAACATATAAAGAATGTTGTAGAGAAGGAAGGAACTTCCTCCAAGCTCTAGAATCGTGAAGGAGAATCAGGATCCATAACAGGCAATAGTTTTTCCCAAATTTAAGATTTCGTGGCTTTAAAAAAAAAGGATAAGCCAAGTTCATGGAAGCTCTCCATAACTATCCGTGTCATCTCCAAAGATCAGAATCAGCACATTTCTGAATACCAGTTTAGTTATGTTTTTAAGCACTCAGGAAGTAAGCAGCATACAAATAGAAATTGCATGTGCCTATAAATAAATAAATATCCATGTAATTAGGCAACTAGTTGGCCAATGTGAAACTCAGTATGTCTTTGATCTGGATCCAGAAAAATTCTTTATATGCGTATCTTATCTGTCCTGTCCCATCCCATAGTAAATCTTGAATGACTGAGTTAACAACCAACTATACAAAGTGAAAATATGGGTAATCCTCAATTTAGGACCGGTCAAAATTATGACAGATCTCCCCACAAGGCTGCTTATGAACCAGATTTAAAGTTCCAATGGTCGCCCTACCTGGTAGTCACATGATCGCACTTTGGGTGCTGGCAACCAGCCCACTTTTACAACTGTTTGCAGTGTCTCGTGGTTACCAACTGCAATTTAGGTTTGGGGTTTTTGTTTTTTTCCTGGAAATTAGTGTTTTCCTTCCGGTTTCCAGCAAAAACACCCATTGCAAAAAAATAGGTTTGACTTAATGACCACAAGTCATTTGATGACCTGTTTAATGACCAGCACAACTTATATCTATAATTCCAGGCTCAATTATGGTCATATATTACTGTAATATATTTAAAAAGACAAGAATAAATACCAGAGTTGTTTAGGCGAATGAGTCAGCCAATACACTGATTAAATGTATTAAATAGGCAAATAAAAGCATGGATGACTATAACACTATAAAAAAGACAGCAACAAGTACCAGAATTGCTTAGCCAAATGAGTTAGCTAGTACACTGATTAAATGTATTAAATAAACAAAGAAAAGCATGGATGACTATAACACTAAACACAGGGCTGGATGCCCACTCGAATAACATTGCTTTGATCAGCGTACAGAATGCCAGCAAGGGCACAGGCAATCTATAGCTTGGGGTGGTGAGGGGAGCATACTCAATCAAGTCAATTCCGTAAAGCAATCTCAAATGTAGCCCCATTTCTTTAACTCAAATACCGTTTGTCTCGCTTCCTAAACAATTCTCAAGGCTGCTCCTGAAAATCCTTATCAGCATAATGGGACTGACGAATGCAACTTGTCTATTCCATCATGTCTGATACAATGGGTACGCTTACCCATGTTCAAACAAATGTGGATACTATAGGAGCAGGAACGGCAGAACCTGGGGGCAGAGTCAAAAGAGGGATCAGCCTAGAATTCCTACATAGCCACAAGCGAGCTAAGTCCAACCTACCCGGCAATCCCACTGACCGTTATCTAACTCTGATATCGATTGTCCGTTAGTTGACAATATTGCTGTGCATAGTGATGATTAGCAATAAATCAGTTTCATTGGAACTTCACGTGCGGTCCTGATCTCTTTTGCCTGACTCATACTTACTTAACGCCAGCAGACTTGGCTTGAAGGGCACTGCTCCAGAAGTCTTCTACATTTTCTGGTTCAGAAAAGGCCTGGAGACAAGCACTGAAAGGGATCCTTGCCCGGACCACTTCTGGTGGGGGCCTCCTTGCTGTTTCTGCTTCTCTTCTCTTCAATTCATAGGCAATCAATTCATCTAATCAGAACAACAAGTGAGATTGAATAAACGCCGTACATCTATTGAGAGTCATGCATGGGCTCAGTTGACAGCAAATGAACATGAGAAATGACTCCACCGACAACATTTTGCATCTAAGAGTGGATCGCACGGAATTTGGTCAAATTTCTGACTTCACTGCTGGATCTACAGCAGATTGTTCATAATGCAAGGCACTCGGGCGACTGAGCTTGGACTTCCAAGGTATGCATCCCTGAATTATATCTGAATGATAGACAATTCGTACACCTGAGGCTCTTCCACTTTACCTTTGTTTGTTGCAGCTTCCATTGCTACAGGCAATTGCATGAGATACTCCACCCTCTCCGTGTACCGTACTTTTCTGGTCTGGCAGCACTGCGTCCGTTCTTCAACCAAGAAACGGAAGACATCGCTGGGGTTTTCTGAGCCAATCCGGTTTCTCTGAAAAGAAAACCGTGAGACGTAAGCCCCCATTTTGATTGGGAGTTGCCCAGAGTTGGTTATGAAATGGATGGCTACATCTACAGTTTAAATAACTGTATATATCAATAAATATATCAATAAATAATGGCAACATAATTGTTGTTGACTATCCCAGGTCCTTCAGGAAAACTATTGTTGATTATCCCAGGTCATCCAAGTAGGTTTTTTTACAACTAGAGTTTCAAGAAAAGTAATATATCGGCTTGGGGAGAGATTGCAAAACCCAAACAATTCCCATGCCACCATCACAAACCTTAGTAAATCAGAATTAAGGCAAGTAATGAAAATCCCACAATTCCTATAACCCGGAACTCTCAAAATCCTAGCTGAGGATATTGAATTTGTTGTTTGAGATATCTCAAGGGATGTCAAGCTGTGGAAAGCTGTAATACCTTGTCAAATTGCACTTTCATGGTTCTAGAAATAGATACATCTACCTCTGGAGATACTAGATTAAGGATTTGTGCATAGAAAAAACAACAACACACAAAGCACCAGGGAAGTAAAACTTAGCTTTATATTCTCCACTAGGGGAAAAAAGCTTCAAAGATATCAGTCAGCATTTAACGGTAGAGAAGTTCCCTCTCTCTTAAATGTATACCGCTCAATTTTTCAAAAAATTATTTTGTATGAAAACCAATAAAAGCTTAATAACTTGAAAGCTCATTGATTTCAGCAGGGAACTCCAAGTGAAATCAATAAAGGTTGGAAATGTTTAATATCAGCTGGAGTGTATTCTATGTTTGTGGATCATTTATCAATAAAAGGCATCCTACGAGTCACTTCTTTATGGTTGTCTGAATTTTGTAATAAACCTGATCATATACCAGTATAAAATAAGGGCATTGGAGAATTTGGATTGCAAACCACCCCAGGAGATTGAATATCAGAACATAACACAATTTGAAATATAGCGTAGGATTTCTTTATATCCCAAAATTGCTTACCAAACAGGGTGCCCTCCCTTTTTTTAAATAAAAAAAAAATACTCTGAAGGATTCTAGGAGCTGAAGTCCAACACAACTGCATTATCATGAGTATCAGCTGTGATTTTTTTTAAAAAAATAATTTAATAATTACTCTTATCTAGTAAAGAATTGGCAAAGCTCATTTCAAAAAAGCAAGTGAAAAAAAATGAGACCACAGAGAGGAAACAAGTCATTCAGAAAAGGCTTACAAGACAGTCTATTTCAGGGGTGTCAAACTCGCAATGTCACGTGATGTGTCACGACGTATCGTGACTTTTTTGCCATTGCCGGCAATGGGGTGGGCGTGGTTTTGCTATGATGCATCCGGCCCATGGGCCGGCAGTTTGACACCTCTGGTGTATTTAGTACCAATAGAAAGGGATATTTATAGCTATGCGGTCCTTGGTACTTTCTGAGCTTGGTTGTTTTCTTGCAGACGTTTCAAGACCCAACTAGGTAACATAATCAGTACTAAGAGAGAGTGTGGTTTGCTCTGTTTACATACAAATAAGTGTTGGTAGTAGTTCTTGGTAGTTCCTTGATTAGGCTCTTATTTACTGTTGGATTCTTTATCTGAGTTGGTAGTTCCTTGATTAGGATACTGTTTACTACCAACTCAGACCTCACAGTCTGCCTGATTCTACCATTTCTGAAGGTTGAGAAATGAATTCCTTCGCTGAACTAAATCTTTCTTTCAAGAATTCTAGAATTCAAAGAGATCTTTACCATTTCCCCCCTCAAGCGTATACTGATTTCCTCTATGTGCTGCAGAATTTCCCAATAGCCATTCCTAACATGAGGAAACTCCTGTTAACAATTTGATGTTCAGACTGAAGCTTAGCTCAGCTCATGATAGAAGAAATGATGGGTGTGTTGAGGAGGGAAAGCACGTTCTTCACAGGAAGAACATTAAGGAAAATAAATTGCTCCTGCTATAAAATGCCCTAATATCTACTATTTGAAAAAAAATAGAACTATACACAAAACCCAAATTCTGATGAATATATATATATATATATATATATATTCATGTTGGCCCAAATATGAGAGGAAGAAATCTTTTGCCTGTATCAGCTCAATCTAGAGCCGTCCACAGGCAGGCAGTTGCCACTGCGACATCGTTTGTATTTCCTAAATTTTGGGATTGCTAACAAAGAATTAAGGGGGACTGGGATATAATAGATAGATTAGATTAGATTAGATTAGATTAGATTAGATTAGATTAGAT